GCCTTATATTACTTATAAATCTAAAGTATTTATAATAATATCTCTTTTATAAATATAAGCTATTTATCCTTTATAGCCTTATCTATCTTTATAAGATTAATTAGCTTGTTTAGCTTATTAATGTTAGACTTTTACTTAGTTAGTAACTACTTTTATAAGTAAAAAGTAGTATAGTTAATCTTCTTTTACCTAATATTCTTTTTATAAAGATACTTTATATAGCTTAAATTACCTAGGTACTTAATAAGCTTATCTTAGCTATTTATATTAATAAAATACTAAATATTATAAGTTATTAATAAAAAGTAAAGCTTTATATACTATAAAAACTAATCCTTATAGATTATTAGAAGTCTATATAGCTTATAAGTAGTTATAGGACTAATAAGTATATCTAATAATATAATAGCTATATTATAAATATTTAAAAAAGATAAAAAGTTAAGAAAAGTAAATCTAAAGTAAGGCTACTCTATAATAATAAGGGTTATACTTTAAGTTAAAGCTAGGCTTATAACTATTATAAAGTAGCCTTACTATAAAGGTAATTTATATAACGTATATAATAAGTAAGCGCACTAGATAAGTAAGCATGCTACCTAATTATAACTACCTTATAAATATAACTAAGAAGTAACTATAAAATAATAAGATTAATTTAAACTACTTAGAATCTTATTCTTTAGATATTTCTTTATTAAACTAGTACGTTTACGTATTATATCTAGCGTTCCTATAGGTGCTATACTACTATTTACCTATTTCTATCCTTAATCTATAACTACTACTCTAACGTGTTTCCTCCTTAATCTAGGTTATTACCTCTCTCTATAACTAAATATCCTATATATTAGCTACACTAAGACTCCCTCCTTACTTTAGATAAGTTTTTTTTACCTTTTTATATTAGTTAAGTAAGTTATTCTCCTTATAAAAGGTTTAACCTTAGCTTTTAATAAAGTATTCTTATATATAATTCCTAACGCTTTTTTAAGAATATACTTAGTAGCTATTAATCTATATATTAGGGAGCTATTTAGATAATTAATAAAGTAATCCTTAATAAAAGTTCCTTAAGAAAATATCTCTATTACGTTATATAGTGTCTAAGAAGTCTAAGCTAGTAGTGTTATTAGAAGGGATCCTAGAGGTGTTAAAGTGTATAACTTAATATCTAGCTTTAATAGCACACTTTCTAGACTTAAAGGGATAAGCCCTGCCCCTCTAAAGCCTCCTTAAATATTTACTTTTATAAGAGCTTACTTAAAGGCGTTATAAAATACTAAAAAGAAGTTATCCTTTATAATATAAGTATTACCTTATTATATCTTATTCTTAATTTCTTAACTATACGCTAGCTTTAAAGGCCTAAAACACCTAATATCTAAGGGCTAAAGTAAATAAGATAAATAAAGTAGTATATAAAAGGTAATAATATTATTTTCCTTATAATATAGCTTAAAGTCTATAGAATAGTAACTTTTATACTTATTAATAATAAAAAGGTAATATTTCCTTTTTATATATAACTTTAAATATTAATTAAAGTGCTAAAGCTAATTTAGGCTTCTTTTATTTATTATTTATTTATTTTTAGACGTTATAATAACCTAGTTAGGTAAAAGACTAGATTTTATATACTAAGTAAAAAGAAGATTTTTACCTCTAATAATAATATATAGTAAGACGCTATAACTAGACAAACTAATAGCCTAAATAACTATAACCTATTCTTAATTTCTAGGCTGTACTATTTTTATATTTAAACGTCTTTTAAAGCTTATAATAACTATTCTAAATATAATCTAGCTTATTATAAAGCTAGTCTTATTAAAGTTATAAATATTAAACTCTATAATACTATATTTTATAATTATGTTTACTATAAGGTAAAACTATATATTTATTACGTCTAGATCTTTATATTAAGCCCTCTTATAGTTATACTTATAAAAAAAACGCGTTTAGAGCTCTAGTGTTTATTTAATAAAGTTTAAGGCCTAGCGCTTACTAACTAGAGGCGTATTATAGTTACTAAGTAGTTAATTAGCTATTTCTTTAACACTACTAAGGTAGAGAGGAAATAATTAGGAATCTAGGTTAAGAATAAACTTAACTAGCTTCCTCTCTTTAAGTTCTATTAAATTCTATAAGTTAGGTATAATATTATGTTATAATAGTATACCCTTTAATTAACACGTTACTAAATTATAACTAACGTTATATATCTTTACTATAGCTTAAATACTAAGTTTTAGATCTTTTTTATATACTTAGACAGCTAGCTGTACTTAGGCTTTATTATAAGTTAATTTTATTATTATTAGTAGAGGAATAAAAGGGAAAGGTTAGATAGTTAGATAGTTATAGTTTAGTAGTGCGCTTGCTTGTCTGGCGCGCTTGCTTATTATATACGTTAGTTAAAAGTAGCTTATTATTTCTAAATAGTATTACACTACGTCTTATAGCTAAATACTACCTTATTCCTAGATTATAAAGTAATATTATACTAAAAGTAGTGTTATATAGTAGTATTCTATATAAGGCTACCTTATAACTTATAATATAAGCTTATTAAAGGCTTATAACCTAGTTTTTATAAGATTTCTATAATTAATTTAGTAAAGTATAGTTCTATTATAAAATAAAGTAGTAAGTGCCTATAGTAAGGAGACAGACAGATAGTAAGGACTAAATTCCTAATATATATATAACACGTTATATATACCCTAGGTATATATCCCTTTAGTAGGTAACCCTTTAAAGAGGAAAGGTTAACTATAAATATACCTCCTATCTATTACCTATCTTATCCTATGTTATTTATTTAGCTCCTTGTTATTACTTATCTTGTTTTACTTCTCTGCTATTACGCTTTGCCTTTACACTATGTTAGTTTATGTTACTATTACAGCCTAGCTTTATTCTATTAGAACTATAACAGCTGCTAGAAAGGCTGTGTTAAGTTTCTTATTATTTAAATAAGTAGGTATTTTTATATTAATAGGTTTGGGTTAGTTATAAATATAGTTAACTCTTTTATTAAAATTATAAATACTACTACTCTAGATTTAATAAAGTTAAAGTATAAGGCCTTGGCTTTTTATATAATAAAAAAGATAAGGCCTAGCTAGTGCTATTTAATTTCAACCTTACTATAGTTATCTTAAAAGACGTTTAATTTTAGATAAAATATATTATATAGGTCCTAACTATACTTTACTTTATTTATAAATAACTTTATAAAGTTAGTTAGCTAATAAAGGTATAGCTAGAAAGATAAAATAAGTGTAAATCTAAAATTCTATAGGTACTAATTAAAAGATCTATTATAGTCTTATAACTATAGCTAAAATCTCTATAAAGCGCCTTCAGTTAGTAAGTTAGATACTAGCTTATAATTATTTAATTAGCTAAGTAGCGTAGCCTATAAATTTACCTTATTTACTATAATAGGCTAATAGCCTAATAGTTTATTATACTAGCCTTAATAGTAATAAGTAGGATAAGGGGTCCTTAGGTAGCGTAATAAGATATTAAGAAGTAAGGTGCCTATATTACCTCCTAGTGCTAAATTTAAGTTAGTAAGTGTCTAGTAGATTTTGTTATAGTTAAAAAGTATAGTTAAGTTATTTTACTTTTACTTTAGCTAGTAGTAATTTATTATTAATTAATAAGTTAGTATAAATAAGGCTAATAGTCCTTATGTAATAGTATTAGCTACTATTCTTAATAATATTAAGAAGGTAGTAAATAAGGCCTATTTTATAATTAATTATCCCTTAGGTAGGATATATTAGCTAGTAATAGTATTAGTAAAGTTAGGACTTTTTATTCTTATATTAAACATAACCTATCTATAGTTAGTAAGGGTAACACCTTTATTACTTTATATATAGAAATCTTTCTTAAGGGGTTTTACTAATTTAGGTGTAATTCTTTCTTAAGTAAAATCTAGATATAGTTTATTATTTAAGAGGTAATCTTAAAATAAAGGAAATACCTTAATACTAATAGTGTTAAATAAATTCTTACTTAAACCTATAAAGTTATATCTAAAGGTATTATAAAGTTACTAACTATAAATATTACTATTTAACTATATAGTAACTATATATATTATATATAATCTTACCTTATTAAGATCTTTTTTATTTATATTATAATTAATATTGTTACCTTATATATTTATATTAAAATACAAAAAAAGAAGAGTAGTAAAAGAAGTAGATAAGATAATTATAAATATAACTATAAATATAATAATAGTAAGGTATTTCTTATTAATAGTTTTACTATTACTAGTAGTAGCTCTTTACCTCTTAAGTTATGACTTATTATTACTAGTACAAAACAGGAGGTAAGAAGTAGTAATAAAAAGAAATAAGTAAATAGAAATAGTATAAATAAAGAAGTAAAAAAGTAATAACAGTAATATTAGTAATAAAGATAATAATAAACCTTATAAGCTTTTAGGCTCTTAATACTTTAAGTTATTAGTAAAATAAATACTTAATAAGCTAGTAATAAGCTCTACTTAAGATTAAACCTAACTAATCTATTAGTAGTAACTTATAATTATTATATACAAATTAGTATTAGTTATTCTTAGAAAGATATTTTATATTAAATTAATAAATAAGATCTTTAAGGTAGTTACTTCTTGTTATAGCATTTACCTTTTTTGTTATCTACCTTATAGCTATATCCTTTAGTTATAGGTAGTAGTAGTAGATACGGCTAGGGGAGGCAGTGTGTTACGTAAATGTTATGTGACCTACCTCCCTAGAGCATACTTACCGTATGCCAACAGAGAACCTTCATAGACAACCCAGCAGTCTACAAAATCAAGCAGAGAATAATCTCTTATATATCTTAATAGTGGACTTGCCAGAATGCATGTTTTTTTCATAGTCGGCGACTTTCTATATAGAACGCAGCTTTGCTAAGTTATCTAACGTGTATAATACAAAAGCCCATACGATAATTAGGTATCCTAATTAAACCGCTTTATCACGATAGGCACGAATTATAAACGTATTTTCTGGCAGCGACCTAGTTTTCTCAATGACAACATCAAAGCCCTTGCCTTTTAAAAGCTCTTCAATCGCGGGTTTAACTCCAGAGTCAGCCCAGGTTTCCAGCACAACATTACGTACCATATCCCAGTATTTATCATCCACGCCAAGCAACACATCTAGCTCAGCACCCTCAACATCAACCTTGATTAGGTCAATTCTTTCTAGCCCTATATAGCCGTCTAGAAAGTGTGATAGCCTTTGAAGGCTGATGTCAACCTCCTGGCTATGGCCGAACACCTCAGCTGCAACTTCTTCACTATAACGTTGTGTAAATCTGCGCCGTATTTCTACCTTATCCTCTGGGTATAGAGTCGAGTTACCAGGGAGGTGAGGGAAGTATACGAGCTTAGCAGCTGTTGCATTTGAGCTTAAACCACAAGCATAGGGCTTAACTCCAGCTGTATTATTTAACTTCAGGTTCTGGCGTAGAATTTTATATGTCTCTGGAGCTGGCTCGAACGCAAGAATTGTAGCTGACGGACATTGCTGCTTTATGTATAAAGAAAAAAGTCCAATATTGGCCCCTGCGTCAATAATAAAGGGTGAATCTGGGAGATTGAAGCCGTCATAGCAGCGGTCTTCATAGATCTCCTTATAGATAAGGCGGGCCTCACGTTGGGATGTGGTGTAGCAGGAGAGGCCATTGACTAGATTGACTAGCTCTACCGTCATGATAGGCGAAGAAAAGAAAAGAGCTTTTGAGTATAGAGTAGTACTTAATTGTGCTTCAAATAAGTGTTGTAAATAGTGGTGTAAATAGAGATGTTGCTGTGGTTCGAAATGGATCTATTTTATAGACGTATGACACCTTGTTTATTAGGTTGGAGGTTATGCTTCTAAATAACTAGAGACAGGGGGTGTATAAAAAGTACTTATATCTAAAGGTGCTAGTGCCCCACATTCTACTACCTAAATGAACGTGGAGGGAGGGGCCCTTGGACCTCGGCATAATCAAGTGTAAAGCTTATGTCTTACTATATCGGGAGACAAAGCAACGAGTTAAGAGATAGAGAAATTGGTAATTTCTCCCTCAATAGGGGACTTCCCCTAATAGCTGACTGAGCCTAGGTTTATTCCTTACAAGGTTTCTAGTAGCCGGTTTAGCGACTATATGGTCTATCGTACTGACAAGCTCATCTATCGAGTGAACACTTAGCTCTATGATGTAGTTCAATCTCACTTACATCTAGCCTATTTAACGGCCTCTCAAAGCTGCAGTGGCCTAGATCTGTCTTTACTACTCCTTAAGGGTGTGAACGGCCGCTGCTCATGAGTAGTGATTAGTGGCCAGGAAGGATTTTTCGTTACTTGTGCCACCCCAACTTTATGCTCGAAGTACCGCCTAAGGGGGTATAGTCACTAGCAGCTAACCGCTTGCCTAAATAATTAAGGGTTTGTAATCTTATATTATTATAAAAGTTAAAGCACAAGGGTAAACACAGGGGGGAAGTTAATACTTATATTCTAAATTATTAGATTTATAAGTAAAGTAACTAATTTTTAATATTATAATAAGCTTATTCTCTAAGGAACTAAGTGTAGGTAATAGTAGTAGATATAGTAATATAAAACTGTTCTTATTACTATTACTATTACTATTACCTCCTCTACTAGTAGTAGTATTACTACTACTAGTACTACTAGTATTATTATTATTACTACTAAAGAAAAAGCAAAAGTAAAAGGCTACCTAATAAGGCACTTAAATATAGGCTGTATAGAATAATACCTATATATAGCTCTTTCTTAAGCTTTACTAGTAGTAAGTTAATAAAGAAGTATTAGTAAGTATTAGGAGGCTAGTTATAAGGTAAGTAATAGTAAATATACTACTAAAAACAACTAAAGTTAATTATTAGAATAATAATATTACATAATTACACAACGCCTATAGGACAATGAATTGTATAACAATCACCTTAACTTACTCGTGGGATTGTCATAATTCAACGCAAGGGGCACAGATTGGATACTCGGCCTGAGTCATTGACTAAAAGGGGGAACGACGTCGTGTATAGCCGAATGACTCAAAGGCGTACGAACAAGTATAATAACCTTTTGTACTGTTGAAGCGCGTGAGTTGGCAGCGATATCCTTGTGTTGATTGATTGTTCTGTTGTGTGTATGTCTCTATCTCTGTGGCCCACGGCCATCGCCGATCGGCCTATTAAGGGGCAAATGTTCAGATTATTATTTCTCCTTGTTTTAGGTGGAGAAATCCATCTAGGAAATGACTGGGGCATTTACGGCCAATTGCCCCACTTTGCGCCTGGGCGCTCGCGGCTATTTCGCCCACTTTAATACGCCCTCTTAGATTATAGCTATTTAAAGCCTTTAATATAGCCCTTGAATTAACAATATCTGTAATAATAATTATCTATTGTTATAAGGTAATTGTTAATCTATCTTAATAGTTATAGTAACTATAAATTACCTTTATTTACCTATTTAGCTACCTAGGTATCTAACTTAAACTAAAGTGTATATAGTTAAGTAGTATTACCTACTGCTTAATAATATAATATTTATTAGTAACTTATATTAAAGCTTTAGGGTTTAATCTTAGGTAGAAGTAAAAAGACTTAATAGTAATAATGTTTATAAAGCCTACTAATCTTATTAATTAGTAAGTTATTAGATTATTTACTTATAACTATAGATAGTTTAAAATATAGTAAGTTGTCTAGAGCTATAATAGTATAAAATATAAGATAGGTAAGTATTAATTTGCCTAGTAGGCTAATTTAGTTACTTTATTAAATATGTATTACTAGATATAAGGTTTAGTTATATTAAAGTTAATATTCTTTAAGAATATACTTACTAATATAGCTTATTCTCTAGTAAATAGTGTTATATAATTTCTAGTTATTATTTAAGCTTTTTTAGTTATTTTTTAATAAAGTTATAGTCTTAATAAAGATAAATCTAACTATATAATTTATAAATATGAGATTATTTTCTTTATAAAAATATCAATATACGTATATAGTAGGTAGGCTATTATAATAAGTAAGCTACTTTTCTTTTTTTTTTAACTTTTTAACCTTAATGGTAATATTTCTTTATAAACAAACATATAATCCTCTTTAATTGAAGCTATATTTTCCTTACCCTTTAAGCTATTAAAAAAGACCTAAGAATATCTATATAAAAAGTAGCTTCTATATTTAAGGTCTTAAGAGTAACACTTTAATACTAATACCTTAAAAAAATACTATAAGCTAAGATATATATAAAATAAAGGAAGATAATAGTAATAAAGAAAAATATAACTCTTAAGAAGGTTATTAACCTAATTAATTAAGGGCTTTGTTTATAAAAAGGAGATATATAAGATATAGCTAACTAACTTCTTAATAAAGATTATATAATATATATTAGACCTTTATAAGTAAAGAAGTTTATATAATAATAGTCTTAATTAAAAATAACATTTTAATATTAAGTTAATTATTAAAAAGCTTTAACTAAAGATCTTATAACTATATAAGGCTAGTTTCTTTATATATAAAACATAATTCTAATTTATAAGATATAAGGTTATAATATATATAATTCTAATAAGACTAGTAACATAGCCTTCCTAGCAGCTATTATAGTTCTAATAGGATAAAGCTAGGCTATAGTAGTGTTATAAAGTAACGTAATATAAAAGTAAAGCGTAATAGTAAAGTAGTAAAGTAAGATAAATAATAATAAGGAGCTAAATAAATAATATAAGATAAGATAAGTAATAAATAAAAGCTGTATTTATTATTAACCTTTTTTCTATAAGAGATTACTTACTAAAGGGATATATACCTAAGGTACATATAATATATTATATATATATTAGGTATTTAGTCCTTACTATCTATTTATCCCCTAACTATAAGCACTTACTACCTTATCTTATAATAAGTGCCCCCCCTTAAAAAGACCTTATCTTCTTTTACTAAATACTTTAAAAGCTAATTAAGAAAGTAATAGCTACTATTTCCTATCTCCTTTATGTTATAGCCCTATATCTTAAGGTTATTTATTTATATTTTAACCTTACTATTTACTTATTATTATTATTACTTAGGTTAATAGCTCTAGCCTAGTGCTCTTTTCCTTATAGGCCTATAAGGCTATTAAGTTCCTCTACTAAGTAGGGTTACTTATTACTTCTACTACTTAAGCTTATATTACTAATAACGCTTTAGGTAATAGTATATATCTTTTACTAAAAGTAAAGTATTTTTATAAGTAAAGTAACCTAATTTTATAACTATTTAAAATCCTTAGCCTTAAACTTATTAAAAATATTAAAATTATTTATATTATAGTTAAGGTTCTTAACTTTATTTTTAATAGTATTAATTTATTTCTTAATATTATTAATTTAGGCTACTTATTAGTAAATCTTTTTAGCCTTAATATATAAGCTTTTTCTAATAGCCTTATTAATATTACTTTATACTACTATAGCTACTTTAGCCTTATTAATAGCTATTACTAAGGTAGTAGTGTTTTTTATATTCTTATAAATTAACTTAGTGTACTTATTAACTTTAGTAGTAAGGTTAGTAACTTAGTCTTTTAGCTAGTTAATTAAGTATAATTAGCCTTCTATATAGTAAGTATACTAAATTTCTAGTATAAAGATATAGTCTAGGCGCTAAATAAGTAAAAAAGTACTTATAACCTTAGAATTACTTTACTTAAGTTAGTATAAGAATATAAAGCTAATTAACACTATATAACTAAGGAGTTATTTAGACTATAGTTTATTTTTCTTATAATTAGTAAAAATAGTATTTATAAGGGCTATAATCTACTATTAGAAGTACTTATTTAAGGTTAAAAAGGTATATAACTATTTAGTATTAAAGCTTTTTTAGCTTATATAAAAGCACTAGACCTAGACCTTAGTCTCTTTATATAGTATTTAGTTAGTATTACTATAAAAGGCTTTATTAAGGCGTATAATTACATCTTCCTTAATAAGGATTATTAACTTTTTAGTAGTAAATATGTTTTTATATAAAGTAATAAGTGCTTTTACCTTAGCTACTATAGTAACCTTTTTTACTATTTTATCTTTAGCCTTTTTAATAGCGCTTTATTTAGTTAATAGTATACTATCTTAATTAAGCGTATTAAGGTATTACTTAATATATTTATAAAGCTTATTATATTTCTCTTATTACTTAACTATCTTTTATTACTAAATATATTTATTAGCCTCTTTAGTTTTATTATAAATATTAGAGAGTTAAAAAAATATAATATAAATAAAATATAATATAAATATATATAT